AAATCTTCATCACTATTAATGATTGTTACGGATTGCACTATTTTTTTCATTGTTCCATTTCCAGCATCAAGAATAGTGCTAGCACCTGATAAATAGGTGATCAATAAATTTCTTTAACATATTATTGAATAATTATCCACAAGTATATTTATGAATAGATGGAGGTATGAATATATGAATGTGTTTATGAGTGCTAAGTCACTTCAGTCATGTCCAGCTCTTTGCAACCCTATGGACTGTAGCCCACCAGGCTCCTTTGTCCATGGAATTCTCCAGGCAAGAAACTGGAGTGGACTGCCATGCTCTCCTCCAGGGGATTTTATACACAAACACAAATTCGTGTATAAATTTGTGGGGAAATTTAAGGGGGGGGAAGAGAGCTTATAGGTTTTAAGCAACAACTATGTACCCAGCTCTTAGTGTTCTCCTTACATAATTTCACTTACCCTTCATAGTAATTCAAAGAGTAACCAAAAGTTCACAGAGAATGAGCAATCAGAATATATAGCAATCAGAGCCATAGTTAAATAATGATTCAAAAACCTTTGAACTCCCTAGATCCATTTGACTCTTAAGGCTCCAATGCATTTGGGGTTCAGTCTTCCTCCTATGGCTATAAAGTGAAAGTGAAAGTGAAGTCGCTCAGTAGTGTATGATTTTTTGCAACCCTATGGACTGTAGCCCTGTAGCCTGCCAGGCTCCTCTGTCCATGGGATTTTCCAGGCAAGAATACTGGAGTGGGTTGCCATTCCCTTCTCCAGGACCTATGGGCAACACAGTACAATTGAAAAGGTAGTGGGTCCTCCGAATCAGTCTGATTTTACATTTCAATCCTGGTTTCAACACTTACAAGCTGTGAAACCTCAGGCAAGTTGCTTAAACTCTCTGAGCCCGTGTTTTCTCATATAAAAGTAGGATAAACAAATGCACTGCAAAGTGTTGTTTGATGCTTGAATTAAATGATGAGTACCATGACAATGCTTGAGTCAAAATTAGTGGGCCCCCTACCTCCCTCTGTTTTTTTAATGTACCGAGCTAAAACACAAGAGAGCATTGATGACTTACTCTTTCCTGAATAAAAGAAGAAACTAATTTATAATTGTATAGTTTTGAGAAAAACTTCCTTAAATCACTTCTTTACTACAGTTTCCACTACTCTTTGGTGGATCTGGTTTACAAAACCTTTTTTCCTTTTATTAATAGCATTTATTTATAAATATTTATTCATCATGTACGGCGTGCTGCTCCATGTTCTAAGCAAAAGGGATATAGTGGAGAATAAAATAGACTAAGTCCCTGTCCTCCTGAAACTTACATTCTGGGAAATGTCGTTCAGAACAGTTTTGGAAATAAAGTTCTAAAAACTCTTCTTCCATCTGGGCATCATCCTCCACATCACTGTTGGACTTTACAAAGCTCGTGCGTGAGTGCTAAGTCACTTCAGTTGTGTCCAGCTCTTTGTGACCCTATGGACTGTAGCTCGCCAGGCACCTCTGCCTACGGAGATTCTCCAGGCAAGAATACTGGAGTGGGTTGCCATGCCCTCCTGTAGGGGGTCTTCCCGACCCAGGGATCAAACCTGCTTCCTGTGGCTCCTGAACTGCAGGTAGATTCTTTACTGCTGAGTCACCTTTACAAACCTCATCTTCTCTTATTTCAAAGGAAAATAAACTCATGGAGGTTACCTAATACCCATATGAGATTAAGTAAGAAATCTACAAGGTATGAAAGAGAATATGAACTTAGAGTCAACCAAGCGTGGACTCTTGTCATTTATTAGAGATGTAGCCCTTGGCAAATAAAGTAACCAGTGTTTTTTAGTATCCTTCATATCAAAATCTACTTGCAAGGATATATGGAATTTTATGAGATAATATATGTAAAACACCTAGAGCAAGGTATGAGAGTAGAAACAGAACAATACTAATCATAATAGAGATTCTATCTCATTATGACTTGTTTCTCCATTGATCAGAAATAAATGAGCTATCTTAAGGGTAGAAGTTGACACAGAGAAAGCTGTAACATCCATTTATGGTTATTTGAAAAAATGGTATAAAAATATACACAACCCACACTTGCCACCTGTTACATTTTTACTTAAACCATGAAAAATATGTCATGGAAAGTGTGTGTGAATCCCATTAAGAAAATCTTCTATATGACAGTCTCCCTAGCTCAACTCATATGATAAGATTTTCAAAACTACTGATGCTGATTTAGCTGGTCTGGGTTATTCCTGGGCACTGGGATCTTTATAAGTTCCCGTAGAAATTTGTGTGTGCAGACCAAGTTGAGAACCTGGTGTGCAAACTGCATTCATAGAACCCTCCGCTGTTGAGAGGGAAAAGATTAGTTTTAGCAAAGGTATGTTATATACCAAAAGATTACATCTTAATGACCTATGAGATGCATAATTGGTAGTGTTGTGAAATACAGAACTCACTTCAGGTAAGTCCATTTTCAATTAATTATGTACTTTAATTTTTGACATAAAAAATTAAGTAAAAAAAATTTGACATAAAACAAGACTGCCTACCCACTTGAAATATTGTTACCTCTATTTTTTAAGCCTGAACCAAACTTCTAACCTTCATTATGTATCCATAAATGGGAAATGTAAAAAAGGGAACTATTCACTAGTCCAATTAAAATGGAGCCTCACTTAATATATTTATCAAATATCCTGAGAAGTCTTTCTTAATCATGTTCCTACTTTGTCCGACTCATTCCAAACTTTTCGACATTTTCCATGTTCAGCCAGCTCCACCACCATCCACCACCTGTCTAATCACAATCCCATTTTTTCTTCTCCTCACCCATCAAACTGTACTTTCTCTCACCACAGGACAGACAAGGATGGCATGGAAGCTTGTGTGTGTGTGTGTGTGTGTGCCTTCCTATCCATGGTCCCTGTGAATTTTACTCTCAATTTTGGCTGATACTGAAATCTCCTAAAAACCATTTTAATTTTTCAAAACTACTGATGCTGATTTAGTTGGTCTGGGTTATACCTGGGATCTTTATAAGTTCCCACAGAAAATTTGTGTGCAACCCAGGTTGAGAACCAATAGACTGGAACATGGAGACATCTTCAATCCCGTTTCTTTTCCACTCTATATTTTTGCTGAAGATTTTGGTTCTCTGACTGGATTAAAAATCAACTAATGTAAAAACTGCATCTCTTAGTTCTTTCAGTCTGGGAACTCTCTCACTGAATAGATGAGGTGTGGGATTTTCATTAGATTTCTGTGTCATTGTTTCCAGAAGATTGACATTTGTACAGTTGGCAGACAAACTCAGTACCCTGACCCTAGCCCCACGTCATACCTTCCAAATACACACTACAACCAGCAGAGGTTTCCATGACCTGAAGAGAGCAGCTTGAATCCCAGATATGCACCTGCAGGTCCAGCCTGCATCTGACCATCCTGAGATTGGAGGTAACCATTTCTATGGACCACTCCATCAGACTAAAGAGCGAGGCCTATGAAAGGGGTCCTTCCTGCCCATCAGCAGCAAGCCAGTCAATCCTCCTCAGTTTCTGGGGATATTTTTTCTTATTTTCACCTATTATGGACTTTTAATGTTCATTTTCCTGAATTTTTCCTTATAACTAATCTAGCCAATATGAATTTTCATATTCATTTTAGACTCAAAAATGAGCCAAGGCCAAGGAGATATTTTAAGGTAGAGTTCACTGAGGCTCACTGTATTCACTTGCTAGGGCTACCGTCCACCAGACCACAGAGGGCCTGGCTTAACAACAGAGTTCATTTTCTCACAGTTCTAGAGGCCAGAAATGCAAGATCATGATGTCGGCAAAGCTGACCTCTGAGGTCTCACTCATCGGCTTGTAGATAGCTGTCTTCTCCCTATGTCTTCACCGCGTCTTCCTTGTGTGTCTGTCTGTGTCCTCATCTCCTTATATACTAGTCATATTGGATTAGGACCCATCCTTATGACTTCATTTAACTTTAATTGCTTCTTTAAAGACCCCATCTCCAGACACAGTCACATTTGGAGGGACTGAGGGTTAAGACTTCAATATTTGAATCTGGGGGGATATAACTCACCCATACAACCATGAAATAGAAGATTTTAATACCTTCTTGTATCCCCTCAACTGGGATTCTATCGTATGAAACCATGGCCATGATATTTAGTTTGCTTTACTTTCTTTAGCATGAAAGTGGACTTTCTGGGAATGAATAGAAAGAAAGCTCTACATAATTTTGGAATTCCATGATAAGCTAATCTAACTAAAAAATATAAAGGCTCTGAAAAAAATATTAGAAATATAGAATTTACCAAGTTAGGCAGTAGAAAAAGGAAAAATATAAAATAATGTAACTGATTTCATGAAAACTATATACAGTAATAATCTAGGAGAGAATTGATTTTGAATTTTCAGCCTCTTGATCTTCCTAAGTTTGTTCATACTTGTCAGGATGTAGTCATGATTTAGGGCTTAGATTGTAAGTCACCATTGTTGTTATCATTACTGTTTTAATCACTAAGTCTTATCTGGCTCTTTTGCAAAGCTGTGGACTGTAGCCCACCAGGCTCCTCTGTCTAAAGGATTTCTCAGGCAAGAATACTGGAGTGGGTGGCCATCTCCCTCTCCAGGGGATCTTCCTGACCCAGGGATCAAACCTGCGTCTCCTGCATTAGCAGGCAGGTTCTATATCACTGAGCCACCAGGGAAGCCCTGTAAGTCACCATATAACTGTCTTAATTTGCCTGTTTTGCTAAATTGTTTGTTTCTGCAAGGAGACTATTCCTATACTCTCATCAGTACAGAGGACTTCAATCTGAACTCATCAATTGCCTACTGCTGAAAAGTACTTGTGTGGTGCTCAATATATGGACTTTTTCCAATCCCTTTCTTAAGGTGACTCACCCAAGAGTTCCCTGTGGAAAATCTGCACATCTGCAGATCGTGCCTGAGGCCCTCAGTCCATTCAGATTAAAATTTTGGTTCTCAGACAGGAACCTACCTTGAGGTTTGGACTTAGTCAGCTTGCCGCAGGGCTTGGAGATGGTGACTGTCTTCTGGCAGTCGGCGTTGTGGAGGGCTCGCTTCAGGTTCCCAGTTCTGGTCTTCAGAGCCGTGTTCAGATCGCATTCTCCCCAGGCCTGGAACTGGTATTTGCACTCCGCTGGAGGCAGGGTAGGACCAAACAGAAATCTCTGAGTTCCTCTTGGAGTACCATGAAAACAGACACTTTTGGTTTCAATTTTCTGTAGTGAGGTAATTGTTGGTTCACATGCAGTTGTGAAAAATAATACAGTGAGATCCCGTATACCCTACACCCAGCTTCCCTCAGTGGTGATATCCCGCATAGCTATAGTGCCACCAGGAACTTGACATGGACAGAGTCCAGAGAATTTATTTAGGTTTCCCCAGTTTCACGTGCTCTCACTTGTTTATATGGTATGTGGACACTGACTTCCGTGTGACTTTATCACATGTATAGATAAGAGCGAACACCCCCATCAATAACATTCAAACAACTTCTAACACAAAGGTCCCTTGGGTTATCCTTTTATAGTCACAGCTTAGCATCCTTCTTCCTTTCTCACCTCCTTGCTGTGCTGTGCTATTCTCAGTCACTCAGTCATGTCTGACTTTTTGCGACCCCATGGACTGCAGCCTGCTAGGCTCCTCTGTCCATGGGGATTCTCCAGGTAAGAATACTGGGGTGGGTAGCCTATCCCTTGGCCAGGGGATCTTCCCGACCCAGGAATCGAACTGGGGTCTGCTGCATTGCAGGTGGATTCTTTACCAGCTGAGCTATCAGGGAAGCCCTTCCTATCTCCTGAACCCTTAGCAATTACTAATCTGTTCTCTGCCTCTATAACTGTGTCATTTTAAGAACGCTATATAAACGGAATCACACAGTATGTAATGTTTTGAGATTGGCTTTTTCACTCGGCAAAATTTCCTGGAGGTCCATCCAAGCTGTATGAATCAATAGTCTGTTCCTTTCATTGCCGAGGAGTACTCCGTGGTATGCATGTACCCCAGTTTGTTTAACCATTCACCAGCTGAAGGATATCTGGGTGGTTTCCAGCTTTTCGCTATAACAACTAAATCTGCTATACAAATTCATGTATAAATTTTTATAGGAACATAAGTTTCCATTTCTCTAGGATAAATGCCTAAGAGTGAAATCACTGCATTGTGTAGTAAACACAAGTTTCATTTTGTGAAAAACTGCCATGCTCTTTTCCAGTGTGGCTCTCTAGTCTGTATTCCCATCACCAATGTGTGAGCGATCTAGTTTCTCCTGTATCCTTACTAGCATTCAATGTTATTTCTGATTTTAGCTTAGCCATTCTTACAGGTGTGTGGTATATAGTGATGCCTCATTGGTTTTCATTTTTATTTTCATCACAGAGAAAAGATGCTGAACATCTTGTCACATGTTTGTTTGCTACCTAGGTATCCTCTTTGGTAAAATGATTGTTTATGTCTTTTGCCCAATTTCTAATTGGATTGCTAGTTTTGAGACCTCTTTATATATTCTAGATATTTATATACATAAAACCTTTAAAACACATTTTTAAGACATTTTATGCACAGATCTTTAGAGTACTTATACACAATTTAAGATCAAACGTATGTGAATTTCACCATGCCTTTGTAGAATTTACCTCCACTTACATAAAGTTATAACTCCAAAGGTTATAGAGAATGAAAAAGATGTAGTGTATGTATTCATTACCCTTCTCCACTGTCCAGTAGGCCAAAACACATTTCTGTAAGCCAGTGAGAAGACTTGGGACATTGTGTCCCACTATGGCAAGAAAGACAAGTCTAGAACATGGGGAAAAAAAAAAAAACCCAGGCAATTTTGGTGTTCAGTGGTGGGTTTCAGGTCAAAAGTGTTGAAAGATTCCTTCTCAGATTGGGAGACGAGGTCAACATGAAACTGGCAATAGTCACTGAGCTAAAATCTATGAACAGTAGCTCAGAGCAGTCTAACTGGGTTTGGTGAATAAAGCTATAAACCAGTGTGGAGAGTGGGGACGGAGCAAAAGAGAGAGAAAGAAGGCCCGGAAGTAACAGAGAGAGAGATCTGGAGAAGGAGAAGACTAAATAAGACAAGAGGAAGGGAAGATAAAAGGAATCTAGAAATAGAAGGAAAGAGCACACTGTTAAGAGGGATGGAGGGCCTGTTTTCTGACCCTATTGCTAAGGCTGTGGTCTCAGGCAGGGACCATCTGACCCTCTGCCCCCGCCCCGAAAGGAAACACGCAGCAACATCTAGACATGTTGTCACAGTTGCAGTTGTCATAGTTGGTGAGGTGGGGAGTGCTACCAGAAACTAGTGGGTAAAACTCAGAAATGCAGCTAAATATCCTACGATGCACAGAGCAGCCCTCCCTCCAGGACAAAAAAAACTATCTGGTTCCAGATTCTAGCAGTGCGGAAAACAAGGTTGGGCAAGATGCCAGGTTATCTTGATTTTAAAATAGAGTCAACCTCAAAAACATACCTGATGGAAGAGTGCAAGAATTGTCTCAGGGTGGAAGGGTGGGACTCACCTCCAAATTGCTTTTTCCAGTTGCAGGGGATCTTGCACCTCTGGGTCTTCATGGTCTGTTTACACTCGGCTCCCGCGCGGGTGCCCTCGCGGGTGCCCAGCCCACAGTCCCCGCTGGTGGGCACACACACACTCCACTGCCACTCTCCACAGTCAGACTTCTTCACCTTCTTCTCTGAAGGGGAGGAAGGAAAATGATCAACGTCCAGAAAGCTCTTCGACTCCTGGATAAAACCGAGTTCATTCCTGAGCTCCTGAACTGCATGGCCTGTGATTTTACCTCTCTCTTCAGTGTCTAGGAAAGAGGAGGAACTCGCCCAGTATTAGCTGAGTGGTTGAATCAACCAATGACCAAGAGAGGGGAGAAAGAAAACTAGGGAGCTAGCACTAATATTTATTTAATTCTTACTATGTGCCAGGGACTGCGCTAAGTGATTTACTGACACCTCCTTTTGGAAGCAAATGTTTCTGAAAAAGAGGAGATGATCAAAAGCAAGTTAAATCTAAAAAATAGGAAAATAGTCTATGAAAATCAACAGTTGTCAGCTTAGTCATTCCAGTGTATGTCAATGCTCCTTTCTCTGTCTTATAGATGGAGTGGTGGCCGTGGTTTAGTTACTAAGTCGTGTCCGACTCTTGCGACCCCACGGGCTGTAGCCTGCCAGCTCCTCTGTCTATGGGATTCTCCAGGCAAGAATACTGGAGTGGGTTGCCATTTCCTTCTCCAGGGGATCTTCCTGACCCAGGGATCAGAACCAGGTCTCCTGCATTGCAGGCAGATTCTTTACCAAATGAGCTACAAGGGAAGCCCAAAGATGGAGTAACATAAACTAAATGTGGTGGACCACAGATGTAACAGATTCTCCCTCCACAGCCAACTTATGACATTGCAAGTGACATAGAAAAGGTGCTTTATTCTTACTAAGATTCAGTTTCCTCCTTTGTTAATGAGATAAAACAAAATTTGCTTCCAGGACTCTTTTCGAAGAAGAGTATCAACATAAGTAAAACACTTGATTGCCGATCAATTTTCTGTATGCTGTGCTGCTGCTGCTGCTAAGTCACTTCAGTCGTGTCCGACTCTGTGCGACCCCATAGACGGCAGCCCACCAGGCTCCCCGTCCCTGGGATTCTCCAGGCAAGAACACTGGAGTGGGTTGCCATTTCCTTCTCCAATGCATGGAAGTGAAAAGTGAAAGGGAAGTCGCTCAGTCATGTCCGACTCTTAGTGACCCCATGGACTGCAGCCCACCAGGCTCCTCCATCCATGGGATTTTCCAGGCGAGAGGACTGGAGTGGGGTGCCATTGCCTTCTCCATCTGGATGCTGTAGCTGTTAATAATTATTACTTCAATTAATAGCCAATGGTCACCATCTATATTTCAGGACTTAGAGCGGGGGGGATGGAATAAGAGGAGATGTCACTTAGGTGTTCCTCTAAATACCTGGAAGAAAGGAAAGTGGGAAGAGGGGAAAGAAGGAAAAAAGAGAGGGAAGGAAGGAGAGAAGACAAAAAGCAAGCAGCTGGATTATATAGAGATTAACCAATGAAGACTTTTGTTCACAACCATATCACTCACCTGGTTTCTCTTTCTTTCCTGCTTCAGCGGTGTCCACAACTGCCAAGATGAAAATAAATGCCAAGAAGGCAGCTGCAAATTTTCGACGTTGCTGCAGGTACTGTGGAGTCTGCATTCTAAGAATAAACAGAGAAATGGAGAAGCTGGTGTCAACCTAAGTCAAAGAAAACTCGCTGAACTCCTTGATGAAGGACTCCAGTTTCCGTTTCTGAAATATCAGATTTTAGGAAGATTTATATCAATTATATGGCGCAGAGTTCAATCTTTTCTCCAACAGCCACTGCAGTAAGTGCTCTTCTGCAATCAGTCATGTATTCATTGATAAAGTACAACAGTCCTTCACATGAGACTTCACACACAACCATTTGCTAAGTATGACTCAAGAGCAATGGAAGCAAAAGAATTTTGATGGCGTGCATTGGAACAGACTCCTACAGTAAGTCCTACTATAGTGACACTTGGTAACGGCAATGACTATAGTTACCCTTCTAACTCCTGATGATTCCTCAAAACACCCATGATGTTTCCGTCCATGCATATAATGTGAGTGGACACAATGAATAGATTATCTGTGCAAGTATATGTTTGCTGTTCTCTTCCGATGCACCAGTAATGATCAACATCTCTCATTTTATCATTTCTATGATCACGATTACCTTATCATCATAGTTCTGTTATTCACTGGTCCACTGAAAAGTGAAGCCCAAAACAGAAGGAGAGCTAGCACACCTTCAATATACAGCAAAAACACTTCTAAGCTCACATGTACTGAAAATCTTCTAAATTCGAGAATGTAGTAAAGGGTTTACATTTACTCATAATTTGAAATCTCCACATTAGAGATCAATAAAAAATCCCAACATTAGCAAGACTCCCCTAGAACTTGAAGTCACTTGTGACAGCATAGTGTCAATATGATCGCTTTGCCAAGCATACTGGGGAAGGCGCCAGGACAACCCACTTCTTGAAGCTGGACCAAGTCATTGGCTGCAGCAACTCACCTGGTAGTCATTGATCTCCATCTGGTATGTTCATTATATTTTATGCTTCATATAAAAAAGATAGTAATGACATACGCTCATTAACTCAGGATTTTTCTTCCAGAAGTATACATTGTTTACGTGATTTTACATTCTCATGAATGTAAACAATAAAACCTCACATATATAAGGGACTGAGATCACTTTGTTCTGTAATTTGCTTTCCTCATTCAAGCCTATCTATAAAATAATATCCTTGTCAGTGAATTTTTCTCCCTTTCTGTGACACTGGAAATGCCCATTTTATTGTTTTCTAATTGATAACTTTGGATTCCATTGTATGGATGAAGCATATTTCATCAGTTAAAGTTAATATTTTGGTCATTTGGTCCTTTCCCTGAATCATAAGTCCTAATTAGCAACTCAGCATCTCCATCACTTTCTAAAATCTAAAATTACATGCTTTTTTTCTTNATACGTGGGATCAATACTTTCATGGAAAATTTTAAAATTAGGTGAGCATTTAAATAAGAAATTAAGGTATCAAAGTATAAAGGTATTCGTAAAGAGTCGGACACGACTGAGTGACTGAACTGAACTGAATTGAATGTAAATTTTTATAATTATACTTCACTGATGATCAAACAGAAAAGTTGTTACTGATTATGACACTTGTCCTATGACTTTCATTGGACATGAATTGTCTGAGAAGTGAGTCTAGACATATTGGTTGGCAAGTCCTCTCAGAGCTGAGTACCCTGGTGTATCTACACAATACATTTAATACATATCCACATAGCAACTATAATTATGAGATGTAACATGAAGGTCTTCTGGTGTTTTCTCCAAAGGCAGTCCAAGAACATACTCTCAGTGACTAACCACTTTGGAGGCGGAAACTTCTCATTTGAGTCTTCTTAGAGGGTAAGTTAACTTTTAAATTTTAATGCATTTCTTTCTATGTTGTAATACACATTTTGTTTTACAATTACCTCTGACTCCTTGAAATTAGATTGTGAATTAGATTATTGTATTCTTGTTGTTGTTGTTCAGTCTCTAAGTTGTATCCTACTCTTTGTGACCCCGTGGTCTGCAGTGTACCAGGCTTTGCTGTCCTTCATTATCTCCCGGAGCCTACTCAAACTCATGTCCTTTGAGTCAGTGATGCCATCCAACCATCTCATCCTCTGCCGCCCCCTTCTCCTCCTGCCTTCATTCTTTCCCAGCATCAAGGTCTTTTCCAGTGAGTTGGCTCTTTGCATCAGGTAGCCAAAGTATTGGAGATTCAGCTTCAGCATCAGTCCTTCCAATGAATATTCAGGGTCAATTTCCTTTAGAATTGACTGGTTTTGATCTCCTTGCGGTCCAAGGGACTCTCAAGAGTCTTCTCCAGCACCCCAATTCAAAAACATCAATTCTTTGGCACTCAGCCTTCTTTATGGTTGAACTTTCACATCCATACATGATACTGAAAAAAACCATAGTTTTGACTATATGGACCTTTGTTGGCAAAGTGATGTCTCTGCTTTTTAATGTGCTGCCCAGGCTTGTCATAGCTTTTCTTTCAAGGAGCAAGTGTCATTTAATTTCATGGGTGCAGTCACCATCTGCAGCAATTTTGGAGCCCCCCAAAATAAAATTGTTCACTGCTTCCACCTTTTCCCTTCTATTTGCTATGAAGTGATGGGACCAGATGCCATGATCTTGGTTTTTTGAATGTTGAGTTTTAAGCCAGATTTTTCACTCTCCTCTTTCACCATCATCAAGAGGTTCTTTAGTTAGGGTGAAATCAAGGTTGCTGGGAGAAATATCAACAACCTCAGATATGCAGATGATAACCATTCTAATGGCAGGAAAGTGAGAATTCAGAAATTTCCATCGTGAGAGCACAGCTATTGAGAGAATTTTCTGACCAAGCAAAAGAATGATGCTTGAAGAGCCACGTATCATACACAGTGAAAAGACAGGTCACTGAGAAAACATGCCCACTGAGCAGAAATAGAACTCTTCCATAAATAACACACACAGAGAGTTATTAATAGAAAGATACTACTGCTGGCTATTTTAACCTCAGCATTTCTACTTTGATATTGCTAACCTCACTTTTATAATTATTTTCAAAAAGTTTTCTCTCAGTCAAGTTAAAGTCACTTAATTTCAAAAGAAACATCCCACAGGGGCCTGAATTTCCTGAACAAAGTTTCTAAATGCATAGAATCATCTATTAAACAGGGATCTTAACTGTAGTGGTAGCGGAGAGGAAGAAAGGAGAGAGGAACTGGGATGAGCGTTAGAGTTAATAGAATAAAGTAAACTCTGTTTATATCCTTTCCCCTATGAATTCAGAAAAATTGGGAATCTTAATTAGTGGGCAAATGGTTAATTTCAGCTTTTAGATGTTCTAAAGAAAATGCACACAATTCCATATGTACAGGGAAAATGTGTAAAATTTGTGATCAGCAATAGGTTTGAGTTTTCAACTTATCTTTTCCCCTACCTCCTGTTTTGCCTGCCGTTCTGCTTAAGCCTCTGTTTTGGTAGCTTTAGCTTCTTCTGGGTAGAGCAAAGGGAACAATTATTTTTAAAAAGAGAGTAAAGGAGTTTAGGAAAGAGGAGTCAAATTTAAAAAAAAAAAAAAAAAAGCAAGTAGCATGCTGGTGCCTTGTTGTGGTGTTAAGAACTTGAGTAACTGAACATGTGTAGATAAGAGTTTCCCTTGCTTGTAGTATTTGTTGGCTTTTTATTTGTCCTTAGCATCAAACAAAGGCAGAAGTGTCTCCATATGGTGTATCCCTGCCGCTCTCCAACACACGCTAGATGAGCACAGAGGCAAGAACGCTGACTTAAGAAAATGGTCAGGGTCGGGACTTACTTTTCAAACGGGGGGAACTAAAACAGTGGCAGAATAAGCCCTGCTAAGTCAGCTCAGTTCTTTTGAATAATTTACTTATTTTAACTCCTCCTACTGCCAACTTTTGCTGTCCTTACTCTGACAGATTTAATTTCATGGGGCTTACCAGTTAACAGGAAGACTACCCTAGATACCTGGTGTCTGGAAATTACTGTTGCGTTATCTCAATCACTAATAAGTACGAATGAAGCTCAACGGTGAAACGAAATCAGTTAAAGAAACCAACTAGGGGGGAAAGTGTTAATAGATTAAATCCCGGTCACTTCTGTAGCAAAATCGCTGATGAGAAGGAAAAGCATTAGTATTTTAATAGGATCTAAAATTTTAAAGATGATTAACATCTGGTATAAACATAATACAAGGATGCTGGAATCTGTCTCTTAGTGATTTGTTTGGAATGACTAATATAAGATTTAGAGGCAGAAGCTTTGGCTTAAACTTCAGCTCTACCATATAATTTTTGGAATGTTCTTGGGCAAATCACAACCATTTAAACTGCTGTTTTGACATCTACAAAGTGGGTGTGATTATAATAACTTGAGAGGTTTGTTGTGGAAATGCAGGAGCTAACACAGAATATCAAGAAATATTTGTTGTGGAAACATAAGATGTAGACATAGAGCTAACCAAGATTATCAAGAAATATATTAGTTGCTGGATAAAGTTAGTTTACCCCTATACTCATATTACTTATTAAAAGGAAGTACTTCTTTTTATTAAGAAATAATGAGCATGATACTTTTAGCTGTCTAATCTTACCTAAAATCAAAGGATAAAAATAAAAAAAAAACCAGAGAGATATGATTTAATTAATCCAACTAAAGACTTGTTCAGCTTTATTAGGATACAAATTTGTTCAGGCTTTTGACTTCTTAAAAGGTTAAAATAAACTCAAGGACCTTTACCCCCAGTATTTCTTTGTTCACTGAAGTTTAGAGGCTCCATGTTGAGAACTAATGAAACTGATATGCAATTTAACATGTACTAAATGAAAAAAAAAAAACTTTGCAACGGCATATTATGCCTCTTGTGTGGTGAAACTATTCTACTGCCCTCCTTTTATTTCAAATACCTGAGATAGGGCCCCAGCACAAAGTTGCCACTCAGTAAATTTTTGCTAGCAAAAAAAATATAGCTAAAACATGGCATCAAATAGAAGAATTAGTATTCATGCTAAAATGATGCCTCAGCTCTTTGTCTATGCCATGGATATAAGGTTCACTGA